GTTGAAAGTACTTTTACAAGATCGCCAATAAATACAGAAGAAACAAGTATCTACTGTTCTTTTCAGTTTAACACTTCAATCACAAACTTGTCTACGAAAGCATTATTTTAAGTCCCGTGAGAAAATGATGTGTTTCCTTTTAGATATAATACAAGCTGTGAAATTTTTCTCAAAAACCTACAATTGTGGATGAAAGATTACACAAATTCCAGATTTAACATCAGTACTGAATATCTATGCATAAAGCAAATTAGTCATTTCTGAGGCCTGCATTATATTCTCTACATATATTTTTGGAATGATCTTCAATACATCTGAAGTTCCACTGCAAACTGGGAGAATGTTCTATTTTATCCAGCATGAATTAGCACAGAACTGGCAGTCAAAAGCCTGAAGCACTTTGCAATACCAATGTAATATGCACCATCAATAATACTGTGTGCAAACTCAGTATTTGCTCAGGTACCCTGAGCAATATCCCAAGTGAAAGTTAAATCATTTTAGATCAATTTTCAGTGTCAAATGCTTTCAACTATGCCCAGGCAGAAAGAGGAAAATTTCACGATGCAGCAACTACCTGGCTAGAATAATTACAGATGAACATGTAAATAGGAGAAAGGAGACACTTGATCACTACAAATTACCAGCTAGAAATGGTTTTGGCTGACTATAGCACTCCAACAATGTCACAGATAAACACAAATAAAAGCAAATGTTGGAGACATTCAGGTCAGGCAACTTCTCTGAAGAGGACTGTTGGCATTTCTGCAAGGTCATCTCTGTCTTTATTTCAGATTAGTAATTTTTTGATTTTGAAAAATATTTGTGAAGAAGGCAGCTGTGATATCTAGAGAATTGGAATGCAAAAGGAAGGAGGTTATGCTTCAGTTGTACAGTGCCTCAACAAGGCCCCAGTTGGAATATTGCATTCAGTCCTGGATAGCACTGTAAGAATATACTGCAGATTTATTAAAACAATACTAAGCTTCAGTGGATTATCCCACATTTTCATACATTGACTACCACGTGCCACAGTTGTATCCTATCAGTGAATCTATATTCCTTTGCCATTTCCGTTTCCTATCTACACAACTTACTGTTCCTGCTAATTAGATTTCATTTGTAAACTTGGATGTACAGCTCTATATTTCTTTAATTAAGGGGCTATTATAAATCAGAGGACTATCAAATATCACATTCCAGCTCAAAATGCATTCGCCTTATCCTGAGTCTCACTACCCCCAATGAAATTTTAAATCATGTCTGAGGGCTTCCTCTAATTCCATGTGAGATGATCTTTACTAATGATCGCTTATCAGCCAACCTGTATACAACTCCCATTTTCACAGTCACTTTTTCTTTTAAAAGAAATGATTATTATTGGGTCCAATTCCCTTCTTTAACACCCTTCAATATTTTTAGCTATGAACAAACGAGCAGCAATCAGCCATTCAGCCCTTCAAACATACTCTGCTTTTGCTACAATTTTGGCTAAATTAGCATGGCCTCTATTTCCCTGTCTAACCCATATGCTTTGACTCACTTGATAGTCAAGAATATATCAAGTTCAACCTTAAAACATTCAATGACCTTGCCTCCATTTGTCCCTGGGAAAGGGAATTTCAAAGACTATCAATTCAACATCCATCCTCTAAAGACCCTCGGGATCTTATATCTTTCAATAACATCACCTCTCACTCTTCTAAACTCCAAATGATACAGGCCCAACCAGTCTACTTTTGCTTCATAAGATAACTCCATCAGCCTAAGAATCAGTCAAGTGAACCTGCTCTGCAAGAACCTTCTACTACAATTGGCATCCTTAAGTAAGGAGGTCAAAACTGTACACAGTACTCTAGACGTTGTTTCACCAATGCCAATACAACTGTAGCAAAACTTTCCTTCTTTTATATTCCATTCCCTTTACAATAAATGACAACATTTCGTTTGACTTCTAATAACTAGTTGTGCCTGCATACTAACCTTTTTAGCTTCATGTGCCAACACAATTCAGCATTTTTTCTCCATATTAATATATGCTGCTTCACTATCTTTATCAGATACATAGCAAACAAACCTAAACACTTCAAAGAAAATTGGATTTTTCAGTGTTCAATTTTATAACATTTCAGAGATACAGGTTGAGGCACAATTCAGAGTAAAAGCTTTTAAGTGTAAAAGCAAAGATTTTTTTTGCTTTTATTATGCATCTTTCCAGAAATACCCTAAAAATCTCAACAACTGATGCATTCAAATTGTTCTTGGAAGTGTCTCAAGTTTTCATCTCTACTACACTATCTGGGAAACTAACCCAAGTGTTAAATATTTATTCAATGGCAAAACTCCTGCTGATACTGGTCCAAAGTATTCTTTTACAGTTTTAATAGGTATATACGCAATATACCCTATATATGCAACTTGAAGTAATGTTCTAGCTTTCCTTTCTTAAACATAACTATGAACTACCATGTATTTGTATATTATTTCTTAGGTGTTACTTTGGAGGATTACAAAGCTCAAATTTCTTAAACCTTTCCTGATAACTCAAACAAATGTCATATACTGAAAATTCCGGAAAACTACCATAAAAAATTAACACGCTGCACGTCTGTCAGCATCCGTGAAGAGCATAACAAAGTCAATGACCTTTTACACGAGATGTTAACTATTTTGTCTCGGCACAAATACCTGTATTATGGAACATGTTGTGCACTTGCAGCCTTCGGTGATCTACAGCGTGGCAGTTTGGGGCTTTGGCAATAACAACTAGCCTTGTGATTCTTTTCGACTCTGCATGTGGTGCGTGGATGTTTCCCTTGAACACAACTCGCACTCATTATCATTGCTCTGTTTTGACTCTGGAGTTTAATACTAAATCACTTTGTTGTTTGTTCTGCATTGGTTGGATATAGTTAACATTAATTAATCAGAAATTCTTGGTTTTTAAACTTTGATCATAGCTATTTCAACATAATTCAATTAACCTTCCTCTAGCTACAGAAAAATTTTACATGCAATTTTTACACCCAAATATATTTCATTTAAATTGTTTTATGTTAACTGTTCAATTAGCTTCCAAATTCTCTGTCCTTCCTATCTTTGTATCATCTACAAATTTAACAAGGTTATATCAAGTTTCTAAATCCAAGCCATTAATAAGTTAGAAATGTTTGTTTTACTGAGACAGATCACTGATGTTTACCTGAACATGAGCCTTCAGCAAGCAGCAACTGTTTGATATGTTTAGCCTTTTTCTGACACATTGCCAGGCTATTGCTTAAAACCACACAACACTGAACTTAAACAATGCTTGAATTCACTAGGTATTCCAGTTGTAGTATTTTACGGTGATGGTTTTGGGACGTGTCTTCCTGGAAATCAAATAAACTTGTCGAAGTGGCAGCCTGATGTACATGGACATGGCATTTTAATACTATATTGGGCAGATTCAGAACAGATCAAACAATCAAAACTGGGCCTCTGTAAAGTATTCTGCCGCTATCTGTATCGTCCTGATCTGCAGTATCCACTAATGTTACCACTATTACGATCAACTGTGATAAATCAGACCCACTATTCCTGGAGTTGCAACAAACATTCAAGTCTTTTCTTAAAAAAAAAGACAGTAGCACAGTCCCCCAATTTACCTGATTTTCTGGTTTCTGCACTCAACAAGAATTATTTATTATACATTAAAAAAATGCTATTGGCAGTGCTACTCAGTGAGTTCATTGGCCAACAACATGATCACCAATGTTCAGTTTGGGTTCTTTTGGGATGATGCAACTCCAAATCTCATTACATCCTTAGTCCAGAAATGGAGAAGGAAAAGAGGGTACTCATGAGGGCACATGACAGTGATTATCTTGGCATCAAGACTATGTTTGACTGAATGAGCAGCAAGGAGCCCTACTAAAGTTGAAGTCAATGGGAACTGGGGCTAAACTTTCCATTGACCAGTGCTATATCTAGTACAAGACAAGATGAACATGGCTGCCAAAGATTAATCATTTTAACACCACAACATGACTGCAGGAGATCCTCAGTGGTTTTCTATTCACAACTATCTTCAGTTGTTTCATCAACAATCTTCCCATCACCATTAATTCAGAAGTGGGCATATTCACTGATGATCATATGGCAGTCAGTTTTATTTGCAATGCCTCAGATAAGGAAGCAGTTCATTCTCAGATGCAGCAACCAAGCTTGGAGTGATACATGGACTGGATTACTTGCCACTGAAGTGCCTGTCAATGGCCATTTGCAGCTCTGGTTCATGTGCAAGCATGACCTCGACCTTCCTGTTGCAGGTCATTTTAACACAGCGTCTTACTCGCATGCTGCAA